AGTATTTGTAACTAAACATCCCAAATAGGTATACCCTAAGGATAAGAAGAACCTTTAACAAAATCTTAGCATCTTGACAGTAATGTTGGTATTGTGATTCTGAGAGTCACATGTGTAGTGTGGTATAAAACAAATAATTATGTTAGTTTTATTAACAACTAGGATAACATCAATGAAGTTAAATAAAAATACTGTAGACCTAAATTTGAATTTGAATTGAGAATTTCAGTATGAACTCATGATGTAGCTTATCTTGAAGAAAAAAAAAAAGCTTTATTGAAACAGTCTAGAGACAATGAAAAAGAACAGCATAGAAAAAAATACTGTATTTAGAGGGACATCAAAAGAGTCCTAAGTGAACTTGAAGGTAGAAAAAGAATAATGTTATTAAAATATTTTTAAACGTCTGAAATAACTGCTTAACCTATGTATTTAATAATGATCTGTAACTTTCTCAAGCTGGTAACATATCAGAGATTTAGAAATCACTACCAGAATTCCTTTTAGTCTAATACTATTAGCAGTAAGTAACTAAACCAGTTGCCTTTGAGGTTAGTCCAACTCATGGTGATCCCATGTGTGTCAGAGTAAAACTATGCTCCGTAGGGTTTTCGATGGCTGATTTTTCAGAAGTAGACCATCAAGATCACCAGGCCTTTCTTCCAGGGTGCCTCTGGGTGGGCTTGTACCTCCAACCTTTCAGTTTGCAGCCAAGTGGTTAACCATGTGTACCACTTTAAAAAAATTTTGTTGACATACATTGGTTTGCTCTCTTGGTCTGTTTCTCACAACTTGTGAGCAGTGGCTAAAATTCATCTAGTTCAGTAGAGATCTCAATAGAGTTCAACAGAAACTTGTCCATACATATATATGAGTATATAATCATTTTCTAAGAACAAATTAAAAAAAAAAAAAAAAAGACCGAACACTTCTTAAAGGATTATGTTTGAGGTTTTCTGAATTGTCTAAAAGATAAATATGAAGAGGTCTTGTGAACAGTTATTACTAGGTCTGTGTTCCTTTTAACTTAAAAGGCTTTATATTATAATTGCTCTGTAAATATCAGAATTTTCTGTATATTGTGCAGTGTACACAAAGAAGCCGTCAAATGGCTTATCTTGTACTTATCAACTTGTTTATTTTTATGCCTCCAAAAAGCTGTATATTTTTACAAGAGCATCTGCTACTTTGTAAATATTTTAATGGCTTCTGTTAAGTAGAGCTGTCAGTTTAACAAACAATATTATAAAAGATTTTCATTCTTCCGTGCAATTGCACATCTCAAAATGTGTTTTACCCTGAAAATCCTTTGGAGATTTTAGACTGGAAAGGATATCTCCTTTGAAGGCACAATGCCAACAAAATAATAGATAGATTTAAAGAATAATATACAAGATCACCAAGGAAATAGTGCCAGTTATTTCACAAGACAAATGTATAACAGCAATAAGTTCTCTTGGTTCACTTGTCTTCCTTTGACTCAGGCAGTCTGTTGAAATGGAGCAGCACTGGCTTTGGAGCCAGACATTCCAGGTATGAACTTTGGTTCTTTTACCACTTAATAGATACTGGTCTAGAACAAGCCAATTAACCTCTTTGACCCTCAGTTTCTGTATCTACAAATAGGGTAATGATACCTACCTTATAGGATCATTATGAGGATTAGAAATAGAATATATATAAAGGGCCTAACTCAGTAAAGGTAACAATTATTATTCTGTTTTACCTACGTAGCAACCAAGAGTCTCCCAGTCATTCTCTAGTCTTTGTCCTTTACACTTTTATTCACCCAGCTTATCTCTTCCCTTTTTTTATCTACTTCATAGACTTCAAAGTGAGAAAATATTCTAGAGATGATCTAATTTAGCACTTTTGTTGAACAAATGAGGAAACAGAAGCTCACAGACATTAAATGATTTTTCCAGGATCACAGATAGTTAAAAAGCAGGGATCAGAATCCTGGTCTCCTGGGTTTTTCACTGTTTTTCTTCTTGCTGTTAAATGGGATTTGCTAAGACCTGGGTCTGGAGGAACACGTGTAAGATAGGAGAGTGGAAAAAATAGTGGGAAAGCGTGACGGAGACTGGAGAAACCCCAAGAGTATGGCCCCCGGACACTGTTTTAGCTCAGTAATGAAGTCACTCCTGAGGTTCACCCTTCATCCAAAGATTAGACAAGCCCATAAAACAAAACAAGATTAATGCGGCAAAACAGCCCAGGAGCAAGGACTAGAAGGCAGGAGGAGAAAAGACAGCTCGTAATAGGAACTCAAAGTTGAGAAGGGTGTTGACATGTCATGGGACTGTTAACCAGTGTCATGAAACAATATGTGTACTAACTGTATAATGAGAAGCTAGTTTGTTCTGTAAACCTGTTAAAAAAAAATAGTGGGAGAGACAAGAAAAAGATTAAAGCAAAAAGTGGGGGTGGGGGAGCTTTTCCCTTTTTTCTAGAGTAGGGCCCAACATACTTTTTTAAAGGACCAGGAAGTAAATATTTTAGGTTATGTGGGTCATATGGTCTCTGTTGCAAGTACTCAACTCTGACACTGTAGCACAAAATCAGCTTTAGACAATATATAAATGAATGAGCATGGCTGTGTTCCAATAAAACTTTATTTGGACGCTGAAATTTGAATTTCATATAATTTTCACATGTCTCAAAATATTCTTTTATTTCATCCATTTAAAATGTAAAAATCGGTCTAGGATCTTGTGCTATACAAAACCAGGTGGAGGGTTGGATATGGACTATGCATTGTTTGATGATGATCCCTGTTCTAGAGCAAACCCAATGCTTATAGGTGCATAAGCTTGAAGATAAATGGAACAGATGTTTGGCACTAATGTCATGGAAACAATAGAGAGTGATGGGGACTGGGATAAACTAGAATGTGCCTATTCCACTATAATGGGCAGAAGCCACTCTTGTCTAGCAGATTGCTGCTCTAAGGAAATGGAGACCAAATGCTGCCAAATTTTCTGATTTTCTTTTAAAGCCAGAATTCCAGAATTTTCTATTAAATCTCCCAATTTTTAAATGTTCTTAAGTAACTCAAACTAATTTTTTAAGTACTATAGGTCAAACAGAAACCCTGGTGGCGCACTGGTTAAGAGCTATGGCTGCTAACCAAAAGGTTAGCAGTTCAAATTCACCAGCCACTCCTTGGAAACTCTATGGGGCAGTTCTACTCTGACCTATAGGGTTGCTATGAGTCGGATGATGGCAATGGGTTTTGTACAGGTCAAACATCTGTAAGTTGAATTTGGCATATGGGCTAACAGTTTAAAACCTCTGTTCTAGGAGGAACACAAAACAAAATTCCAGGTAATTCCTGCTTTCTAGCAAGCACGTGAATTTCCCCAATTAAGGATCTTTTAGCCCACACCCTTACCCTATCTGCCAATGGAACACAAAACTGCAATTATAAAGTAATAGGTCGCTCAGGCTATAACCACTTCCTACTCCACCTTCTGCCCCACTCCTGCCCAAATTCTGACTTTCTGTAGTTTGCTAGTTTAAGACCTTATGTTTTGTTGATTAGGTGTCTCCAAAGTACTAGTTATGCCTAGAACCTTCCCTGGAATTAAATAAGGTTAATATTATCTTTTAAAATAAAACCACAATATTACAAGTATAATCTAAGACTTAAAATAATGTCAGAATAAAGAGGCCACTAAATTCTATTCTAATTGTTCTTCTCTTCTACAGACATTTCCCAAAATTCCAAGCATAGTAAATCACTTCTACCATAGATCTCACTTTCCTTTTACAATCAAGAAAATGTGATTTAAGGGTAGTTACAAGTACAAAGAACCCAAAACAAGTCCTATAGTATATTTCCAAGAATTTTTCCTCTCTCTTTCTGTGTTGTTACTATTTATTTCCTCTGTCCTCTCTCCCTACCCTACTGTCAAACTGTAAACTCAAGAACAGTGATTAAGTCTTCTTCATTTGATATCTCCCAATCAAAGTAATTTGCAGAGAGTAAACTCTTAATAAATGTTTGCTTATACGAATGAACAACCAAACCCAACTTTCACATTTGAAAATGGTACCATCTAAGGACTCCAACAGACTGAGATTCCTACATTTTAGCTTCTGTACATTTTCATGAATAGCAAGCATACAAATAGAGCATGTAATGATATTCTGGAAAGTAAGTATGCTTATAGAAGCACTGCTACAAATACGTTTTCATCCTTAAGATAGTACTAACAGATCTGTAGGCAGAATTTATTACAGAAAATTGTACAGATACTATCTGTATCTTGTAATGGAATATGAAAGGAAAGTCAATTAACAGCAGGAACTGGAAAAAGGACTCAAAGTGAGTATACAATAATCTTTTGTCTGCCAAGGAAGAAACATTAGGTCTTTACAGTTGCTACTCTGATATAATTGGGCAATGCAGGAGACCCAGGTTCAATTCCCGGCCAATGAACCTTAAGCATAGCCACCACTTGTCTGCCAGTGGAAGCTTATGTGTTGTCATGATTCTGAGCAGGTTTCAGCAGTGTCCAGACTAAGACAAACTAGGAAGAAAGGGCTGGCAATCTACTTCTGAAAAATCAGCCAATGCAAATCCTATGGATCATAATGGTTCAAATCCACAACTGATCATGAGGATGACAGAGGACTGGGCAGCATTTCATTCCATTGTGTATAGGGTCGCCATGAGTCAGGGACCAACTTGATGGCAGCTAACTACAACAAAAACACTATAAATGGGCGTGTTATCAATGAATTTTTTAAATCTGAACTTGAAAACATTCATTATTCAGTTATCAAACTCTCCTGACTGAGCCAAGTGTAAGAATGACAGAAGTCATAGGGGACTGTGACTAAGATTTCCATTGTGTGAAACATAGAAAATTGACAAAAAAAAAAATAAAGAAAAAAGTTCCATTGAGATATGTGAAAGTTTTTCTGTAATCCTGCTTATGAGTTAGCAGAAATTGTATTTATAGTTGACTCGTATCTTAATCATTTTTTAACAGAACTCCTGGGGCCCTTGGACAGAGGGGATATGCTAAATGAAGCTTTTCTTGGTCTATCATTAGCACCTGAAGGGGAAGACACATTTCCAGATAACCTTCCTCCCTCTGGTTCAATCCACAGACATATTATTCAACAAAGAACACTGAATGGCTCTTCTAATAGGTAAGATATGTTGAATTAAGAAAACTGTTCCATAAAGGGAAGTATTTAACATTTCATATTAAACAATTTTATTATCCCCTGTTTAAATGTAAGCTAATAGTTAAGCAAGAATTATTTCAAAATGTCAAGAAAAAAAATGTCCATTTTCTTATAGCTAATACTTTGTAGTAGTTAGCTCATACAAGAGCAGACATGGTGGAAGCAGAAGGGAATGTACACAGAAAATTGTTAGAATGAATGCTACTCTGGACCAAAATGAAATTACTATACCATATTGAATTCTAGTCATATTCAATTGTTAAAATTTAGGATCATTAGATTACCTTGAATAAGCATTAATTTTTACAATATGTAGTTCTGGCTTTGATTTGCATGATTGTACATCTTTAATGTCAGCTTCCATTAGTTTTTGAAATCTGATAAATAAAATTTAAATATCTATTCAGCTTGCCACATTGTATTACTGTGAATATAAACAGAAAGAATTAAGTATGAAATTAAAAAAAAAAACACTACAGTGTTTTAGTATCATAGTGTTATTTATAATGATAATCATAATGTTAATTATCATGATAAATGCTCTCAAGGAAGAGTCCACAAACTTTTCGTGTCAAGGGCCGGATAGCCGATATTTTAGGTTTTGCAGGCCATATGGTTTCTGTAACAACTACTCTGCTATTGCAGTGTGAACACAGCCACAGACAACACATAAATGAATGAGAATAGCTGTGTTTCAATAAAACCTTATTTAGAAAAACAGGAAGCAGTGGGCTAGATTTGGCCCCTGGTCTGTAATTTATAACCCTTGCTCTTGAGGATCTCAACTATATGCAATAATTATGAAGAGGCTATATTTTTATATTCATATGTATCAATTATACATACCAAATTCATTGCCATCAAGAGTAGAACTACTCCATAGGGTTTCCAAAGAGTGGCTTGTAGATTCACACTGCTGACCTTTTGGTTAGCAGCTGAGCTCTTAACCACTGTGCCACCAGGGCTCCTCAATTACACATACACACTTTTAATATCCTTGAGAAAAATGCCTCAAACTTCATAAATTAACAGTAAATAAAAGTGGGGTAGGACTTGCAGGTATGGCAGAGTTTAGAGGTCAACAAATCCTCTCCCCAAGAAACAATTATAAAATGAGACACTAACAACCATTTCAGGGCTCTGGAAATCAAACAAAGGCAAACAACAAATTCAGAAACTTTCTTTCCTGAAAAACTGCTGAACTTTTAGTGTTCTGTGTTCTTGCCTGGGGCTGTTCCTATCTCACCACCACTGCCACCACCTGCAACTCTTATGCTGAGGGCATAATTTTCATGTAGTTTCATTTTTCCTTCATGACATATTGTTATGGAGGAAGTAGTGGGAGATGGAAACATAGGAAGCCACTATTATTTTGACAATTAACTGGAAGTCCTGCCTCTTACTTTTTTAAAAAAACAATTTTACTCCAAGGCCTCCACGAGACTGAGTCCAGTACAGCTAGATGGTGCCCGCCTACCACCACTGACTGCTCTGACTAGGATCAAAATAGAGGGTCCTGGACAGAGCTGGAAAAGGATGTAGAACAAAATTCTAACTCACAAAAAAAAGACCAGATTTACTGGCCTGACAGACCGGAGAAACCCCGAGAGTATGGCCCCCAGACACCCTTTTAGCTAAGTGGTGAAGTCACTCCTAAAGTTCACCGTTCAGCCAGAGACTGGATAGCCTCGTAAAACAAAACGGGACTGGTGAGGCACAGCAGTCCAGGGACAAGGACTAGAAGGCTGGAGGGGACAGGAAAGCTGGTGATAGGGAACCCAAGGTTGAGAAGGGACAATGTTGACATGTCGTGGGGTTGTTAACCATTGTCATAGGGCAATATGTG